GCACACACAAACACACTCACGCACACACAAACACACTCACGCACACATCCAAACACACTCACACTCTCACACACACAAACACACACACACTCTCACACACACAAACACACATGCACGCACGCATACAAACACACTCACGCACACATACAAACGCACACACACAAATACACACACGCTCTCACACACACGCACACAAGCACACTCACGCACGTACGCACACACTCACACGCTCCCTCACACATGCACAAACACATGCAGTCTCACACACGCACGTACAAACACGCACACGCACGCACACAAACACACGCATGCACACATACAAACGCACGTACAAACACACACACGCGCACGCACATACAAACACACACACGCACACACACACACTCACGCACACATACAAACACACTCACGCTCTCACACACGCACGCACACATACAAACGCACGCACACATACAAACACACGCACACGCGCACAAACACACACATACAAACACACTCACACATACAAACACACTCACGCACACGTACGCACACATACAAACACACACGCTCTCACACACGCACGCACACAAACGCGCACAAACACACACACTCACACACGCACGCACACAAACACACACACGCTCTCACACACACACGCACACAAACACACTCACGCACGTACGCACACATATAAACACACACTCACACACACACACACACACTCTCGCACACATACAAACACACACACTCTTGCACACATACAAACACACACACACACACTCTCACACACACTCTCGCACACGCGCACACACACATACAAACACACGCACATATACAAACGCACACTCACATACAAACACACTCACGCACACGTATACATACAAACACACACTCTCACACACACGCACCTATACATACAAACACACATACACACACACGTATACATACACTCACACACGTATACATACAAACACATACATATATGTATGTGTATATATTAATCTATAGGGTGAATTTACTTTGCAGATACACATCACCTGATGAAGGAGCAGCGTTTTGAAAGCCTGTGTTTTCCAAGAATCCTGTTGGACTTTGACCTGGTTTGCTGTGATTGCTGACCTTTGCCCTCCCCAGTCCAAATCCAGCCTCCCTCAGGCCCCGCCTCCCCGGCAGTGCTCCCCCGACTCGAAAAGTACTTCCTGTTTCCTGTTCTCCCTTCACCCTCCTCCGATCAAGATGGCGACTCGGGCGGAACGGGAGCGGCAACAGCGGCAAAATGAACGGCACCAGGAGATACTCGGGGAGATGCTGCTCGACAGCCGGGAGTGTGCGGACTGCGGCAGCCGAGGTACAGGGGCCGGGCCGGGCGGGGCGGGGCTGGGCGGATCCGGGCTGCGAGGCCTCCCTTTGCCGAATGACCCTGGCTCCAGCTGGGCTGAGGACCTCGTACAGTACAGAGACCGGGAGGACCGGACTCCCCCTGGGCTATCGGTGCTGCCCGAGCCCCTGTTATAGCCCTGTCTTAGTGAGGGAACGCTCCTCCATTGTGTCTGCAGTGAATTTCCGGTGTATCCCAGTCAGTGCCTTTTAAAGTGTCTGTACGTTCAGTTGTCATTAACTGGTTTGTTTGCTGCTTTTGGCTCCTGCTTCATTACCGGGAGATGTGTACATTTGTTTTCGACTGGCTCTGAGGAGGAAGTAGATATATTAGCTGCGTAATTGGGAATGCCCTACCATAATCTCGCAGCTCATTCTCACATTGCTGATCTGGCTTCAGTCACTCTGGTAAATTCGTACCATAAACTTCAGAATTGAACTTGAGTGGACTTGGAGTGTACTTAACAAGGCTGTCGGATATTTGGAATAAAGTTTTGGGTAATTTCCTTGTTTTTTTTTACGCCATGGCTTTCCACAAAGTGCCTTTTCTGTACGTTTTATTTGTCACACTGAGTGTATCAGGTGCACCATTTCACTAACACACAGCACAGCCAACTTATTGCTGGCTCATGCTGGATATTGCAAACTGCCGCAAAAACAGAAGTTGCTGGAAAAGCTCAGCAGGTCTGGCAGCATCTGTGAAGAAAAAGTCAGAGTTAATGTTTCGTGTCCGGTGACCCTTCCTCAGAATTGGACCCAAAACGTTAGCTCTGATTTTTTTCTTCACAGAACCAGCCAGACCTGCTGAGCTTTTCCAGCAACTTCTGTTTTTGTTCCTGATTTACAGTATCCGCTGTTCTTTTGGTTATTTTTGCAAGCTACCACTTCAGGGAATCAGAGTTGTCAACCTGGTTTATGCCCCCAGTTACTGTGTAATTTTGTTTGGGATTTCAACTTCTGACAGAGCATTTGCTGAAAGAAGGTTTGTGAATTCAGAAGCCCAGGACTGTCTGAAAGAAATCATGTTCTAGGGTTTACTCTACCCATTGCATGAAAGTGATTAAGGATGTTTTGTAGAATTGGCACATATCCCATAGATTGTGACATCTGAACATAACATCAGGTAAAAACAGGGTGAGACATTGCACTCTTTTTATTTCCTCTCTGTTTCTTGGAAGAGGGCAGTGATATCTTGTCACTGCTGTGCTGCCAGAAAGGGTTGCAAGAACATTGTTAGTGAGATTGCGCAAGTGTACGAGGCCAGTTTGCAAACACCCAGGCTCGGTTTAACGATGTAATCTCTGTTCACTCACAATGTTCTGCTCCAGGCCAGAATAGGGAGTAGATTTGATTCTGCAATGTCACTTCTGTTGTAATTGTAGTTTTGACTGACAAATTGGAATCCTAGATACTTGCACTCCCTGTCAGCCTCTGGCGTTTAGATTCTCTTAACAAGCTACATATTTCACTTCCTTTTTCTGTTTCCCCTCTGAGTGACTTAAATGTGCAATCACTTTTTATTTGCTATCATAGACTGACTTTGAAAAATATACAATGGTGTGGGGATTTCCTTCCTGGCAAAGTATCCTCTTCCCTTCTCAGGATGTCTGTCTCAGAATAGATTCTTGTTTATTGGTCATCCTGAATAGCCCTGAAGAAGGTAGTCATTAGCTGCCTTCATGAACCACTGTAGTCTATGTGGTTCAGGTACATACACAGTAATGTTAAGAAGGGGGCTTCTGGGATTTTGACTCTGAGATCATGAAGGAATGGTGATATATTTCCAAGTCAGGATGGTGAGGGGCTTGGAGGGGATATTACAGGTGATGTATCTGCTGCCTTTACGCTTCAAGGTGGAAGGGTTGGTGGGTCTGGCAGATATTGTGAAATATTGTCACAGTTAGTGCATTTTCCATCCGTTTTGTCTTTAAAGCAGTAAATACTGAAGACAAACCCAGTTGGTTGGGGATGGGATTGTTTCCCCTTGCCAGCGTACCTGGGGATCTCGTACACTTTTAATCTGAATTAATAACCTGTCCATACTGATTGGGGTGGCACGGTGGCACAGTGGTTAGCACTGCTGCCTCACAGTGCCAGGGACCCAGGTTCGATTCCTGCCTCGGGTGACTGTCTGTGTGGAGTTTGCACATTCTCCCCGTGGCTGCATGGATTTCCTCCGGGTGCTCCAGTTTCCTCCCAAAGATGTGCAGGTTAGGTGGATTTGCCATGCTAAATTGCCCATAGTGTTCAGGGAGGTGTAGATTAGGTGGGTTATAGGGGGATGGGTCTGGATGGGATGCTCTGAGGTTCGGTGCGGACTTGTTGGGCCGAAGGGTCTGTTTCCACATTGTAGGGATTCTATTTTAATGATTCTATGATTAATGATCTATGAATATACACCAGGACAGCTTCATGCTGGAACCTGCCACGTGGTCCAGTTTTTCAGTTCACTGCCTGGCCTAGCACAAGCCCAGAAAAGATTCCTGGCTGCTTGAATGAGGTACCAGTGGACTACTGGAGCCAATGGAAACAGTCCTAGTAGATCAGAAAGGAGGAAATGGAATGACGAACAGGGCAAGGGACAGCTCTTAGTGTCGTCACTGGGAGGGGATTGGAGTGATGCCAAGCTCAGGATTATTCATCAAGTAATCAGTATGAAATTCAGGAGCAGCACCTTCACTGTGGAGAGGAAATGATGTTTGTTAATAATGTCATTGTTGAGGGATCTCAGCAGCCAGGAACTGACAAGAAGGAGGGCTTATGCTACTGAAGTCTCATATTAAGTACATCAGTCTGTGCTCAAGGGTAGTAGGAACTGCAGATGCTGGAAAATCTGAGATAACAAGGTGTAGAGCTGAATGAACACAGCAGGCCAGCAGAACATAGTAGGCCCGAAACGTAGGCCTTCCTGCTCCTATGATGCTGCTTGGGCTGCTGTGTTCATCCAGCTCTACACCTTGTTTTCTCAGTCTGTGCTCAAATTGACTTTTACAGGTTTTAATATTTTGCTTTTATCATTGAAGGAATGTGTGAGTGTCCATCTGTAGATGTGTACGGCCATCTCTGTTATATCTGAAGTAAGAATGGGGTTGCATTTATATAAAACAATTCATTTTTTGGAATATTCCATCCTGTTTGATAATGAATATCATTACGATAATGATAATCATTATTGTAATGTAAGGGACTAAGTAGCCAATTTGTGACACCAAGCTACCACAGTGCAATGATGACCAGATAACCTGTTTTGGTGGTGTTGATTGGGGGATAAATATTGGCTGGAGATAGTGCCTTTTCCCTGAGAGGGCAAGTGAGACCTTGGTTTAACATCTCGTCTGAACCGTGTTGTGCCTTTAATTACTTAAAAATGATTCTAATGTTGTTTCTAAAATTATTTTTAGAAATCCAGCTAATTTGAATTAACGAACAACAATGAATGTTACCATCTTCCTAAGGCTTTGTTCTACTGATTGACCCCTTGATCGCTGTCAATCCAAGGTCCAGCAATGTGTGTTGACAGATAATTTAACTGTGATCTCTGAGAATCCAGTCAGTCTTCCCCCAGTGCCTCCCAGAGGAACACTCAACCAACTTGTTCACAGCAAGGTTCCCATAAACAGTATATGTTAATGAATAGTTTTTTTGAGGTTTCGGTTCAGGGATGGGTATTGTTACAGAATCACAGAATTATTAGGGTGCAGAATGATGCCATGTGGTCCAACATACATGCGCCAGCTCAGTTATCCATTGCGAATCTCCTGCTTTGTTCCCCATATCCCTGCACACCATTACTATACAAAACAAAACATCCAATACCTTCTGGAATGCTTCAATTGAATCTGCCTGTACTGTATTCCTGGGCAGAGTATTCCATTCTCTAATAACTCACTGTGTAAAAATGGTTCTTTTATCACATTACCCTTGCTTCATTTGCACATCACTTTAAACCAATTGTTCTTGTTTATTTTACAAATGCAAATAGCTTCACTCTGTCTGTTTTTCCCAGCCCACTCATGATCTCCTCTCAGCCTTCCTCTCTCCAAGGAGAACAGTTCTACCTTCTACCAATCTGTCTTCATAAATGAAGTTTCTCATTCCTGGAACCATTCTTGTAAATCGCTTCTGCACTCTATATATATTCCTATAATGTGATGCTCACCAATTGTACACAATACTCCAGCTGAGGTATAATAAGTGTCCTGCACAAGTTCAAGATCACCTCCTTTCTCTTGTACCCTATGACCCTATTAATAAAGCCGAGAGCCCTGTATGCTTTGTTTACTGCTCTCTCCACCTGTCCTTCAATGATCTTTACGCACATACACCTGGTACTTGTGCTCCTGCACTCCCTTTAGAATTGTACCCTCCATTTTCATTGAATCATAGAATCCCTACAGTGTGGAAACAGGCCATTCATCCTGACAAGTCCACACCGCCCCTCTGAAGAGCATCCCACCCTGACTCATTCCCCTACCCCTGCATTTCCCCATGTCTAACCCCAACTCCCCTGGACGCTATGCGCAATTTAACATGGCCAATCCATCTATCCTGCACATTTTTGGACTGTGGGAGCAAACCAGAGCACCCGGAGGACATGGGGAGAATGTGCAAACTCCATGCAGGCAGTCGCCCAAGGGTGGAATCGAACCTGGGTTCCTGGCACTGTGAGGCAGCAGTGCTAACCACTGAGCCACCGTGCCACCCCATTTTGTGTCTTTGTGTTCTTCCAACCAAAGTTCAGACCTTACACTTCTGTGCATTGAAACTCATCTGCCATCTATCTGCCCATTTCATCAACTGTCAGTGTCATTTTGGAGTTCCAACTGTCCTCCTCACAGTTTACAGTTCTTCCAAGTTTATTGTCATTTGAAAACTCGTGAATTGTCCTCTGTGCACCAAAATCCAGGTCACTGTATCAGGACAGCGGAGAGAATTCAGCTGCTGTTCTTCAAATAATGTTGTGAAATCCTT